ACCATTTTCATTTTCAAAACATCTATCTATATAGTTATATACTGCTGGAACTACTATGTACGAATCTGAATCAGTGTATAAATCAATACTCAAAGTGAAATTTCTTATTATTTTTTCTCTCATGAATAACTATAAATTATAAGCACATTCTTCTCTAAAGTAAGCTTTCTGAAGCTGAATAACACTATCTTTATCATATTTAAATACTATTTGGCTTTGATAAAATGAAATAAGCAAAGAACTATTTAGGTAGCATATCATGAGAAAGACAAACAAAAAGATCTTTAACTTTTGAGATAGAATTTTCTTTTAAATTTAGTTGAGTAAAAGCTTGCTCTAGTTATTACTTATCTCATCCTTAGTCAGAATATGAGAGCCTCCTCTCTTAGCTTTACTGCCTGAATTTTCACCATGTTTTTTATTTTTTCTAATATTTTTAGGGCTGGAAATATCCTTGCTATCACTTTGACTCTCATCCTCTTTTTCTTCTTCGATTTATTCTAACTTTTTTATGTTAACACTCATTCTTCTAGTACCATAATACTTTTCATCTATTTGATCTGCCTTAAGAGATGTAATAACATTTTATTTTATTGTGCCAAGCGAATTCTTATTTTTTTAGTATTTTGACTTTGGTCTTTTGGAGTTTTTTTTTGAAAAAGTAATTTAATCTTCATTTTCCTTAAGACCTCTTTTGGAATCTGTGTCTTTGATATATCTTCTCGAACTAATTTTGTCGATTTCAGATGATTAAATCTTATTATCAGGCGATTCAAGACTATCATCTTTCCCTTAAATTTCTTTTACTTTCAATTCAGCCTTTAACTTATGCTTTTCTCTACTAATTTTAGTTCTAAGCTATTTCTTAAATTGAACTCCTTATTAGTAGCATTTTTCAATAATAGCTTTATCCAAACTATTATACAATTTTAGAACAGTATATATCCTGTCAAGGACCTTGGTTAAAAGTGGAAAGATTATGATGCAAATAAGAGTAACTATTCCAACAGAAACAAATGTTGTTACCATTAAGGTTGTTTAACTCGAATCAGTTTGCTCAAATGAAGCCTCTTATATCATCAGTAATTATCTATATCCTAATTCTTACTATTAGTACATTCCATTCTCAAATATGAAAAATAGTGATTGCTCTAATTAAGTCAAACTTCTATTGAATGTATCATTTCTTAACTTAGAGTAATCTTTGGCATAGTTTGTTACATTTAGACTAGGTTTTTCGTTTACAAAATCAGCAATAGTAAGCGCTTCTGAATAACTTCCTAAAAGTTTGGTTGCTTGTTTAAACACCACACTAATTTTATACATATACCCTTTATCAGTTAAAAAGGTCAAATTGTCAAAGTTCAAATTAAAGCTGAAATATTACTTATTCAAAGAAATGAAGGTATACAGTTTATCAGATTAATCTCTGACTATTCCAAGATTCGTAATCATATTTCTCAAGTAGTAATCTATTCTGGATCTATTTGGGGGTAGAACACTAGACTGGTTTAAATTTTTCAAATCTTAAGCAATTAATTGAATTGTTTTAATGTTGAGTATTGAGGCTCTCATATTGGCGTTTCTTTGACTTATGTATGACATAGCTGTTAGTCTGCCAGAGATCTATTAATGCTTGTCAGTAAAAACAGCGAGATTGTAAATGCTGATAATTAGGAAAGAAACAATAGTGCAGGCAAGCACAACTGCGCTAATTTTAAGTATTTTAGGAGCTTTCTTTTAGAATAATAGGTTTTTAGCATAATGCGATTATATGGCATTGCTATTAGTCGAGGAATTCGTACTACTAAGGGAACTTAGATCAAAATTATTACTATCAGAATTTACAGATGATCTTTCTAAAAGATCTCTTCCCTCTGTTATGGGGTTACCTGTTGATGTGCTCTTTTTGTAGACGACTTATGATGTCGAGAATTTCTTAGAATATACACCTGTCTAAGAACCCATTAATTCAAAATCTGGGTGCTTACTTAGTGGAAGTATCATGAAAATATTTAGCCTTATTTCATCATTATTAGCTTAGATTCTCTGTTAGACATAATTCAGAAGACATGGAAAATTTTGTAGTTGATCAAATGAATCTATTTCAGTATTAAATTTTCAGCACATAACTATTTTATTTACTATTCCGATATTTTCTTTTTCTGGTAGAATTGTATTTGATCCAAAATCTTAAGCAAATGATTTTTAGATATCGACTAAAAAGTTTTGCAAATTT